TCGCCATCATCAAAATATAGCCATTATTATCAGCGTCTTCATTATCTAAGTAAGCGTGAAAGGACTTTACTCGTTGTTAATACTCGTTTTTTTTTTCATACATTCTTCTACGACCTGATGTATATAAGCACATACGTACATGTTCCTTTTTGTTTTTCCAAGAAGGTGACAGCCTTTGGTTTGGCTTTTCATTGTTGTTTTTGCTGCTACTTTGATTAAATTTTTCCACTGGATTGGGTACTGCTGAGAGAGAATAGTAGAACTGAAGTTACTAACGAAGTCAGATGTGATTGAGTTGGTTAACTGTGAAAAGGGGAGTTTTTTTTTTTTGGATTAACATTTGTATTTTTCTCTTGAAAACATCGTCTAGCAGCAGTAACGGAGCAACGAACAACGAACAATCGAACGGCAATGGAATTTAGGAGAAGAAGCGAAAAATAGATAAATAAAAATAAATAAATAGAAGCTATATATTAGACAAAAGAAGAAATGAAAAGAGAGAAACAGCAAAAGCTAAATGTTGAAATTTTAGTCTGTGAGGTTTTCTGTTAGATAACCAAGCTTTAAGCATATTTTTGATAGGATGTCAAGATAGGGATGAAAGTATTTTTTGCTTAGCTTTTTTATCTTTTCTTCTTACTTTATTTGTTTTTATTCCGGCAAACTAATTTTTATTTCTATAATAGCAGAAAAAAAGTTTTTTTTGTACAAAACTGAACTGAACATCAAGTTGAAGTCTGGTCAGATTTTTTTATTGGATAATCTTTATATAATTTTACAGTTTATTTAGTCGGTCAATATTAGTAGCTTTGATAAACAGGAAAAAAAAAGGAAGAGAGGCGGGGAAAATAGAGTTAAAGTAAGGGGGGAACATTGTTGAAGTAAAAGTACTTTGTTTGTTTTTATAGAGGTTCTGTCAAAGGTTCCAATTTCTGGCGTGCAGCGAAGGTACGTTACCTCCGCTAAAATTTAGGTGGGTGCAGTAGGAAAATGAGGTATCGGGAAGTAAAACAGTGACTGTTTGAAGGATACGTGGAAAAATTTTGTAGATTTAGTGAGGAGTGGGAATGGTCCCTAAAATGACGGTTAAATATGTATATTTATTTATTTGCTTGCTTTTTCTTTTCAATGAGAAGAAAATAAGGGATGAAATTGAGGACTGGTATCAATTGTTATGGTACGTTTATTAAAAATTTTGTTTTAAAGACTGCATTGATTAAATGAAGGGAAGGAGAGAGGGAGAGAAAGTTAGAGGCAGAGCTGTCCACAAGAAGATGGAAGAAAAGAAAGAAGAGCAGATGAATTTGTAGAGGAAGGGAGGAACTTTTGTGATGTTCATCGGAAACGAAAGCTGGTAACCGCCTCCGTATCTGTGGTGTATCTGAGGCATCGTTCACTGTTTTATTTTGTCTTTTAGAACAGTTGGGGAGAAAGAAATGGAAAATATAGGAAAGGGGTGATGCTAGCAATGAATTTTCTTAAGTACGCCCAAGAACAACTACTGGAGACCAACTGCTGTCGGGGGGAGGAAGGAGGAAATAAAAATTTTTTTCCTATTTTTTCTTAATATTTCTGCTTAATTCTTGTGCGGAGTTGTCAGCAGGTCTCACACAGCATGATAATAAGATGTTTTTTTTGCAAGGATTATCTTGAGAAAAAGTCAGTTTTTTTAATGTCATTGTCCTTTTGCTTGAAAGGCTTGCGGTGCTGTCGAAAAAGTTGGTTTTCATCCGAAGGGGTGATGTTGGGGAAGGAATGTTTCAAGTGTGCGTTAAATTAAACTTGGATAATAAATCATTTTGGTGGTCAGTATTGTTTGTTTTGGCTGTTAGTTTAAAATCCAATCTTGACACTTGAGAAGGTTCTGGAGGTCTAGGTGTTGTACAGGAACCGTCTAACACTTTGTGTGAAGTGTAGGGAAGGTTGGAGATATACTAGATTTGTTGTACAAAGATTTGTTTTGGGATATAGCAGAAAAATGCTTTTTAACTTGAATATATTAGCCGAGTTTCTTATTTGTAGGAGAAAGTGTCTAGAAAGCATAGGTTTTAAAATTTTTTAGTCATTTTAGGTTGGAACAGAAAGGTTATGTTGAATAAAAAGAGAGCCACTCTGTGTATAGCAGAAAGTCCACCTTTCCATTTGCTAGTGTTGATGGTGCCGTGATTGTAGTTGCTGATGATTATGATGGTGGTAATGATGCTTACGTGTATGTATATATAAGTTTACATAAATGGGTAATTGTTAACTTTAAAAGAAGACGGTAGAAAAATTAAGGGGGCTGAAGAAGAAGTAAGGGTTGTATCTATTACGGAATTTGTGTTTTTCTCATCATTTTTTCTTTTGTTTCTATGTCAGTTTTTTGTGGAAAAGGAAGCAGTTGGGTAGGGTTTATGGGTTGTTGGTTAAAACTCAGTAACACGGAAGATTCTGCTAGATTGGGGATGAATGAATGAGTGAATGGACATGAAAGGAACAGAAGTTATTGTTGTTTTTTCACCACTGGGAGATTTATTTGGTTTTTTATATTCAATTGTGGGAAACAGATCAATTAAATCGGCATGTATGGTCTTCAAGAAGCTATAAGAGACTGTCTGTCTTAGTTGCAGTTTTTTCTTGATAATGGTATTGGTGTTGGTAGTGGTCAAGTGTTATTTGGGTGTGTGTCAGTATTAAATGATTAGTGTCTGACGACATATTGTCATCAGTTTTAATTTTGTTGTCGATGAATTTTGTTGGTCACGACAGCTTAACAGCAAACATTTGGGTATTCAAATTACTGAAATATTTTTCCCTAGTGTGGTAAATTGATTTTTTTTACTTCAAAGTGATTAATCAAATTGTCGGGTAGACATGTACATAATACAATATTTGCTCTTCTGTCATTTTTTTCCGCTTTTGTTTTCGTTATTTCAGTTATAGTAAGTGGCTTTCTTTCTTTCTTTTTTCTTTTTTCTTTTTTTTTTTTTGTGGAAAAATGGCAAATGGGAAAAAAATGGCAACAGTTATTTGAAAAATGAACAAATGAAAAATTTGGAAGACAACAGCGGCATTAGTGGTAGCAAAAAAATAAAATTGTAAAGATAGAAAGATAGAGATAGAGATAGACAGATGGATGAGCAGATAGGTAGTTAGGTAGACAGCTAGTTAGATGGTTAGGTAGACAAATGAGTGAATGAATGTTAAACAGAACGGTAACCACAACATTTGTAGGAGCGTTAAAAACGCTTCTTAAATTGTGTTAAATTGATGAAACTTATATGAAAATTCTTGAATAGTTTTGATGCAAAGAAAAGAATGTTGCCATTGAAGTGACAGTTTTAGGAAAAAAAGGGGACAAAATTATTGGCGTAACGAAAAATTTTTTTTTCTTTTTTGACTTTATACCATCTGATAACTTTGTGCTGCTGCTTTTTTCACCACTATTTTTGTTGCATAATTACTAATCATTTTTTTTTTTCGAATTTTTTTTGTTTCAAAAATTTTTATTTTTCTCTTATTTTTTCGTCTAAGTGTGTATCAGCGCTTTTGCACAGCAATGAATGAACAAAAATGGAAACAAAAATACTATTTTCTTCTTTCATATGTGCACAAAAATTACATCCCATTTTATTTGAAAAATTTTTTGGTTTTTTGTGCTTTTTTTTTTGTTCTGTTTTGTTCAATCTGTTTTGTTTCTTTGTTTGCTGCCACAGTTTTATTTGTTTTACTGCCACTTTTTTTTTTTAACAGTAACCAAATTAAAGGTTTGCATTTTTTTATGCTTTCCTTTTACAACAATTTTTACTTTAACTAAAAAAAGTATCGTTATCATTTGTGTTGGTGATGGTAGTGATTTGTGTTTGTTTGCATGTGTTTGGTATTTGTTTTTTTTTTTTTTAATACTATCAACTACATAATTTGTCTAATTCTTCTATGAAATTTCCAAATATTATTGCAATTGAAAAAGTAAAATAATTTGCTTGGTTAATACATTCTTTCCCTAAATGTTTACTACGGTCTTTTTTTTCTTTAGTTTTGTTTAAATTACCGTATCGGAAGAGTGATTTTTTGTTTTAATCTGTTTGATTCAGTTGAGTGTTGTATGCATGTGTGTTTGCGTGTTTGTAGATGTATAGATGTACCCAAATACATTTGATGCCAAATACTTGAAAGTCACTTCGGGACAAGTTAGCGGAGCATTTTTGTGTGTGACTTTTGAGCTTGTTGGCTTACAGTTATTCAGATATCTTTGTGTAAAGTAAACGAGCAAAGAAACAAACAAACTTACCGATGAAGGATGAATAACAGTGAACAGAATAAAGAAATTGAGAAAAAAAAAGAGGAAAGAAAAAAACAGAAGGTTAAAGAATAAATATCCATTACTTATCTGATACTTACTGTACCTTCATTGTTGTTGTTAGCAAAACCAAGAAAAGTGTCAAAGAAATGCAAAAAGACAGAAGCGGCGATTCTGCACAGATGTTGCGTCTGTTTCCTAAATTCTTTATTTTCTGGAATTCAATAGTTTGGTTTACCGCCGTTTCTTTGTGTGTGATTTATCTGATTAATCATTAGTTTTGATATTTGCAATCAATTTAGTGCTGCCATCATTGTTGTCGTCGTTGGGTGTTGACAATGATTGTAGATGGTAGTAGTCATATATTTTTTAAAATTAGCAATCATTAAGTAGACCTTGGATAAAATTTTGAATCGACAAAGCAGAGGTTTGGAAGATGCAAAAAAAAGTTTATAATGACGACAGTTTATTCTTTCTAACGATAATAATAGTAATAATAATCACATTAGCAGTAGTATCGTTTCTTTCTTTTAGAGTGTTTATCATCATTTTTTATGACAGTTATGTTAGTTTTTTATTCAGTTTTCCCTCTTCTGTTGATTTACTTATCACCATTACAGTCGTCATTTTTACACAGCATATTATTACCCGCTTGAAAAACGTTAGATAAAGGCGAAAGGGTTTGGTACGGCTTTGGTATAGAAGACGAGTATTGAGAAGAATGGAGAAGGGAACGGGTAGAGGGAGAAGTGGTCGAGTAAGAGCAACTAATTTTAGGGTTCTGATTTTTATCAGTTTAAAACTGTATAAGTTTAAACAAGTGTTTTTGATTGGATACCAAAATGTTCTTTGATATCTGTTCTCAGTAAAAAAATCCTTTCAGTTTCATTTTATTCGCTCACTTTCTTTTTTTTTATCTTTTTATTGGCAACAAAAAATTTTTGCAACAGAAGCTGAAGCGAAAAAAGTTGCAAGGAAAAAAATAAGTTTTGAGAAATTTAAAGTTTTTTTAACGTAAATAAATTAATCAGTTGTTTGTTGTTTGAACCGATCTTTTTCTCCTCTCTGTTATTTCTTTTTCTGTCTTACTGTTACATATATATTTTTTTTTCGTAGAGAAGTGAAGGACAAATGGTTTTTTCTTTGTTTTTGTTTTCTTCTAATGAGAAATTAGGCTTATTGAGAAATGTTGACCTTTGTCAGTTTTTGTTTTGTTTTGTGTTGCAAAGAAAAAAAGATGGGGAAGTGAAACCCATTTGATTTGTTATTTGGTATTCAAAAAAGCCTCGTTTGTTGGTTTGATATGTGTATGTGCTCAAAAAAAGCTAGAAAAGCAAAGAATCTGAATTTAAAAAAAAAAAAAAAAAAAAAAAAAAAAAAA